TCCCACTTCTGCTTTACATAGATTGCTAAAATCACGTTTATATGGTGAAAGAAGGGCATATGGTATTCTTTCTTTCCTGATAGATGAATTGGTATACTTCCTTCTGATCTAACATAATAGATTTGCTAGTCTAAAGAGAATTTGTGTGTGCAGGACTGCCAGCTTGTGATTTGGGATCCCATATTAAGGTTAATAATTTCACTAGTTTTAGCTTGCTTGCATTTCAGCATATAAAATAGCTTTAAAATGTTTTCTATAAAGTGTTAAAATGTATGCCATAACTAATTAAGTAATTTCATTCAAGTCTTTGCTGATTTAATTATATGATTAGTACCTAGAAAATAATTCGATTTTTGTTTGCTATGCATATAAAAGCTACTCATTTTAGCACATTTTTAGGCAGTTAAATTCACACCTTGACCAAAGAAAAGCAGCAAGCATCTATTTCATATTTCCAGTAAGCAAACTGGATACTTCTCAGGTGAATCATTTAAATTGCAACTTCAAACTAATAATCCACTGTAGTGATCTATTAGGCATTCTTATTAATATTAATAATTAAAAAGGCATTACATATGCAGGAACTGTAGCATATTACTGACCCGATCATCTTAATATCTTGTTTAGTACATATTTATACTATGCCAACTATAACTGTCATTGTAGTTGTTTCAACTTGAGATGACTTTTCTATTGTTTTTAATCTGCACAATAAATAACATGGTGACTTTTGGGCTGTACCAGAAAGTCCTAAGTCTAATGCTATTTCCTTCCCAGGGAGTGAGTTATGTACAAAATAGATTTGCCAGCTGCATGTTCCACAAATACAGTAATACTCATTTCCCATAGAAGCCATAGACCCAGCTCAAGGACCCCCCCCTTGTGGATGGCAATTGTGAGATTGTCTTATGTCTAGCTTAATGATCCCAGTGGATGGTAAAGGGATAACTGAAAAGCACTCATGACAAATTCATAACCTGTCCTTTGCAGCTGAAATAACCCACTGTTTGGCATCACATAAATGTTGCATCTTATAGTGGGATAGAATGGAGCTTGGGAGGCACCTGGTTGAATTGGTGGTATCATAGTGGCCCCAAGTGGCCAAGATGGAACATTGCAAAATGAATTTGACTGGAAGCAAAATAGTTTTTGTAAACATTGATGTATGTCATCACTTTGATTTTTTTTTCTGGTATGTCAGCCCTACTCCAAGGATTTTCTTACCACAGAAACAAACATTAATTGTTTTAATAGTAATTGTAAGTCATGGCACTTGATCATCCAATATCAACATGTTTTTAATTACCAGTATTCTTCTGTAGTTTTAAAAACTCCTAACTGAAATAATTTAACCTTATATTTTCTTTTGATTTTACAGTGGTAAATAATTTTTGGCAGAATACCATTTCATATGGATCATTTGGAAGTAGAAGTGTTCTCCTAAGGGAATTTTGCTTAATTCTTAAGGCATTTGAATAATTGTTTCCTATAACAAGACAGAAAATTTGTAAGAGAATGGGTCCTAGAAGAGAAACTGGCAAAAATGGACTTAATTTCTTTGTGTTTTGAGGCCCAAGTAATATAAAAAAAATATTCCAGTATTATGCCCACTTTAAATGCACTGGACTTTGTCTCCAGTTGCTTGACAAAGCCAGCCAGTGTAGCAAAGCCTATCTTTCAAATTTTGATCACAAAATTGCATGGTGGAGATCTTTAAATGAGTTCCTGAGAGCAAAACTGAAATATTTTCCCACTCCCCATTTAACATTACAGCTGAAGAGAAAAGAAAAGACAGACTGGCTTTGCCACAGTGAGTTTATAGGATCAAGGATAGTGCTCCTCAAGTATCTTGCATAAATTGGAAGGGGCTACCGCTTGTGGCCCCTTCACAGATTCCTCTCTTGCCATGGCAAAGGAGCTTGAGTAATTCAGAGAAGCTATGGGCTATGCCGTGCAGGGACAACCAAGACGGACAGGTCATAGTGGAGAGTTCTGACTTAACACAATCCACCTGGAGAGGAAGTCCAGTATCTTTGCCAAGTAAGCTCCACGGACAACAACAAAAGGCTAAAAGATATGACGCTGGAAAATGAGCCCCTCAGGTCGAAAGGCGTCCAACATGCTACTGAGGAAGAGCAGAGGACAAGTAGCTCCAGAGCTAATGAAGTGGTTGGGCCAAAGCCGAAAGGATGCTCAGCTGAGGACGTGCCTGAAAGTGAAAGGAAAGTCTGATGCTGCAAAGAAAAAGCCTGACTGCCAAAGAATTGATGCTTTTGAATTGTGGTGCTGGAGGACACTCTTGAGAGTCTCTTGGACTGCAAGGAGATCAAACCTATTCATTCTGAAGGAAATCAACCTGACTCCCTGGAAAAGACCCTGATGTTGAGAAAGTGTGAAGGCGAGAGGACAAGGGGACAGAGGGTGAGATGGCTGGACAGTGACATTGAAGCTACGAACATGGATTTGACCAAATTCCAGGAGGCAGTGGAAGACAGGAGGGCCTGGCATGCTCTGGTCTATGGGGTCACGAAGAATTGGACACGACTTAACGACTAAACAACAACAGAGGTGGATTCTGGAACTGAGACAGAAGTTTATTTGCAAAAAGTTAGCACTTAATTCTAAATAGGTTGCAAGTTAAATTTATCAATATGAACTCAACACAGGATTTTAACCAATGAATGGGGTTGCTCACTAAACGATCAATGTCCCCCGTGAAGGCTATTAGCTTTTCATTAATTAAAGCAGTGTAAGGGTGGCATTAGACTGGGAAGCTGGATTTTGTTGGGTCACACTGGAAAGTGTTGCTTTACTGGGTGCAGTTTGTGTCCATGAGCAATCCAATCCCCCTTGCTCCAGCCCAACTCCAAAAAAGAAATAAAGAATAGCCCTGCTGTTTGACCAAAAAGGTCCTGATTGACCGTGAAGGAGGATCAGGTTGATTCACAATTTCAGGAGCGTTGTATAGCTCCTGTAAAATCACCTGAAATGGACTGTGGCATGAGAGGTCCAAAATGTGAGCTATGTTGCTGATTTATCACCCACTTAGTCACTTATAGGACTTTTTCCACAGACTGAGCTAGTTCTGCCTTACGAAGCCTTTCCAAGACCAAACTAACTGGTCATTTCCTTAGCCAAGTCCTATATGGCTTTTCCCATGTATGGCTTCTTTAATATCCAGGCCTTAACTGCTGACTGGAAGTTAATCTAAGCTTTGAGTGGCTTCTTTAAAAACTAGCCCTGTCTGTCTTCTTTAACCAAACTGAATCGAAATCCCAACTGACAGTTAAATTGACAATTCTTGCATTCTAAATCTCCCATTCCCATATCATTGGTTATGGTATAATTGACTAAGACATCTTTAGGAGATTATTCCAATTATTTTTCCATCACAGACTTCACTATATGGTATAGGATGAGTATCATGTGGTTCAAATGTTAGCTTATGTTGCTCCTTGTGTACTGTTAGGGATGTTGAGATGACAATAAAGTGGATGGTAAGAAGGTGTTTTGTTCTGTGTACCAGTGGCTCATAGTATTTTCATCTTTTGAAAAAGACTATGAAAAGATTTATTTTAGCTAATCTGGAGAAATGGCTACCTTATTAAAATGTAGCTATAACAGTGGTTCTTTAATGTTTTGGATGCTGGAATAATAGATGCAACTAGTTACTATTAACAAGTAGCATTGCAAACATTCCCTGTGAATTTCTGCTATTATGGAAAGTCAAAGCTTGTGTAACTGGAAGAACATGATCTGCTGCTGTTTTTCTTTTGCAATGCACTACAATCAATTTTAAAAGCTGTTCTACAAGTGGAAGATGATGTACACGTGCAGAAGGACATGCTAGTATGTGGTCCTGAATGTCTCTTTCAACTGCTGTCTCTTTCAGATCAAATGCTGTTAGTAGCATCTATTGCAACTGCAAATATATTGCCCTGCAAGAAAGGTTAAATCCATTTCTATTGCAGAATGTTTCTTCTGATTTAGACATTTACAACTGACTAGAAGAGAGAAAACTACCATGCAAGAAAAGCAAATGAAAGTTTTTAGTTTGAGTTTATTGTTACAGTGGTGCCTCACATAGCGATGTTAATCCGTTCCGGATTAACCTTCGCTATAGCGAAACATCGCTGAATGGATCAAAAAACCCCATTGGAACGCATTAAACATGCGTTCCAAATGGGCCGAAAACTCACCATTCAGCGATGCTTCCTATGGCCGGCAGCCATTTTCGCACCCTCGTTAAGCGAAGGGAGGGCGCGAAAACACTGCGCGTGGCCATTTCCGGGCTTCCGGCGGCCATTTTGTCCGCCTAACAGCTGATCGTCAGGGCTTCGTTTTGCGAAGATCGGTAAGCAAAACACTTGCCGATCTTCGCAAAGCGAGTTTTGCCCTATCTAAGCAACGTTGAGCGATCGCATTAGCGATCCCAAAAAAGGGATCGCTATGCGATTTCGTTGTTGTACGGTGCGCTCGTTAAGCGAGGCACCACTGTATTCATATTCATACACTTATTATTGAGCAGGTATAGGTAGCTGCGGAAAGCTCAGGAACTGCCCTGTATCTGTTTCATAACTCTCAGCCCATTTGGGCTGCATCTACCCATTTGTTTCAAAACTGGGCTGTTTCTGATTCTCCAAAATTGCTACTTTGAGCATAAATGAATCGGTGGGGATAGCTCTATGTAGTAATGGTATGTAGCAGTGCGTCTCATTGAAGCCTTCTGAAAGTGTGTTTCTTCATATTTGGCTGAATTTGGGGGAGTTTGGTGGTGGGACTTGGGGTTGCTAAGTCCACAGAAAACCTGCTCTGGACTGCATAGTCTCTACAGGCCAAAATAATCCTACACATGAAATGGAAAGTTTTCTTACTACTGTGTGAGTTGCTGGGATGTTGTAATGCTGTTCATTGTCTTGCAGTTCAACATCAATTCATATAAATTGTATTTACTATTTTTCATGCTCACTATTTAATTTCATTTTATTTCTTTCCCACAGGTACAACACTTGTAAGATTAGAAACTTGGATTATTCATTCTCCAGGATAATCGCTCTACCGTAGGACAAATACTTTGAAAAGCACAATGTGGTGAATTTCGGCACAGATATCTTGGAATATTAGAACTGACTGAGGAGTTAAAATGTTTACTTTGTGAACAAAAACTATTTGATAGTGGATAGAACATCTGAAAATGCGGCCATGGACTGGCTCCTGGCGTTGGATTATGCTCATCCTTTTTGCTTGGGGGACTTTGTTGTTTTACATAGGTGGACACTTAGTAAGAGATAATGAGCATCCAGATCATTCTAGTCGTGAACTATCAAAGATATTAGCAAAACTTGAACGGTTAAAACAGCAAAATGAAGACTTACGAAGAATGGCAGAGTCTCTCAGGTAGGCTTCCAGAACCTTTATTGAAATGCTGCTACTCTTCTGGAATTCTGTTTTCTCTGTCAGCATAGATTTTAAAAAGTGAATTCATAATGAAATAATATCCTGCTACTTTCTCTAAGGAGCATATATATGCAGACCTATGATCTACATTTATTCTGGGCAGGCATATTTCCGACTTGATTCTGTACAGTTCAAGAGTGGAATACAGTGGTCCTGTGTCTATCTGATAGCTTGATAGTTATCTTCTTGTATCGTTTCTATGAAAGCAGATGTTACAGATTTGAGGCTGTATCATTGAGGTCTGAACATGTAACCTGTTTCCCTGAAAATAAGACAGGGTCTTATATTAATTTTTGCTCCAAAAAACGCATTAGGTCTTATTTTCAGGGGATGTCTTATTTTTTTCATGTATGGCAATCTACATTTATTCAAATACAGTCCTGTCATCTTCTGGTTGCTGCACAATGGTGGAGGCCGGGGTTTCACTCAACTGGGGCTTATTTTTGGGATAGGGCTTATATTACAAGCATCCTGAAAAATCATACTATAGCTTATTTTCAGGTTAGGACTTATTTTCAGGGGAAAAGGGTAATATGAGTCTGAAACTAACATCTTGCACTGTTAATTTGGAACTTGGCCAGTATATGTACTAAGCAAAGGGTGGCCCATAACTTTTATTGGCCAGGGATGGGGAAGCAAGTTAAATAATATTGTCAAAGCTGTGATACTTTCCAAAAAATGAGCTACTATAAATGACAAGACGAGGGCTAAGCTATGCCCATTGCCAGTGATCTCAACCCCTTTCTGACATGTGGGTCTGCAAAAGTCCTTTGAAATAGCAGAGCAAAACTTAAAGGGTACTCAAGAAAAGAAGAAAAGCTGGTATAATAAAAAGGCCTGGGAAAGAACATTCTGTCCCGAGGACGAGGTAGTGATGCTGAGGCCCATAAAGAGCCCCTGCTTGAGAAACCAGAGATTAATGGAAGAGAACCAGATGATGAAAATCTCAGTAAATCTGAAATGAGCCAAGTGTTTGAGATTGCATTTAAAAGGAACTTGCCTGTGAATTTTGTGGTGACCTGGGAAAGTGGTCCCCCTCATATGAAGAGCTTTGTGACAGAAGTACCTGTGGTCAAGTTTATGGGTGTGGGTCAAGGCAAGTGCAAGAAGATGTCAAAGAAGAATGCAGCCATAGCTGTTCTGGAGGAGTTGAAACTGGCTACTCTTCCCACAGTTGAAAAAATTAAGCCACTGATCAAAAAGAAAGCAAACTTAACCCGAAAGAAGCAAGCTGAAAACATCCAGTGGACATCAGAGTGCCAGGTAGTCCTCAATCATCTGAAAAGGGCGCTGACTTCAGGACCTGTCCTTATTGCACCGGACTTCGACCGTGAGTTCATCATCTACACGGATGTGTCGAACATGAGACTGGGAGCCGTGCTGTGCCAAGCAGACAACAGTGGGAATCTACATCCAGTAACGTATGTTATGATGATGGGATATGTAGTCAGAGAAATGTAAGATGGAGTCAGACAGGTTCTGTATAAAGATGATTTGAGAAACATTGGAATGTGTTTTCTGAGTGCTAAGAGAGTGTTTGTCTGAAGATTGGTACAGCATGGTTCGAGATAAAACTGAAGGTTGAACTTAGAAGACTCAACATTCTGAGCTAATTGGAGAAGAGATAAGACACCTGGACTTTCATGGGAATTAAGGGAGGAGGAAGGTGTTACAGCCCCTTGGGGCTAATTGGTTAATACCCATGAAGTGTCAAGAAGAAGGGAGGAGTTAAGAGTATAGAAAATGGATAATGGGTTATGTGAAAGAAGTCTTTTTCTGGGATTCGATTCCATGATGATAGGAGAGAAAGGATCTTGATTGAGAGAGAATGTAAGTAAAGAGAAAGAAGGACTGGGTAAAAGTAAAGTGTTCTTTTAAGGTCAGACTTGGTCAATGCTACAACTGCTGAGGTCTTGGGTGACCTGTCCAACTCTGCCTGAGTGCTAGGTACTCTTTAGGGGGCCCTGTGCACCACACGGTGGCAGCTTGTGAGATGAACGATCTGAGCTGTTGAGAAACCATTGTGTTATAAATCAGTTTTGTATATTCAAAGAAATGCAGAATAAAGTGGTTTTTCCTCAGTTATTATGCTAAGGTAGAAATGGCACTCAGGAGAAGCTTGTCCATGTCCAAACTCCCATTATCTGAAGGAATGGACTTAATTATGGACAAAGAACTGCAACACGTTACTGTAGATGAGTCCTTAGGCGCAACTGGAGGCACCCGACCCAAGCTAACTGGGGTGTCCCTCCTTGAACCACTGCTTTTCGATGTGGAACCGTTTGACATGATGGACAGAACGAGGCACCTCCTGGAGCGAACTGCTCAAGACGCAGTGAGAGCTCAAACATGGGGCGACTTGCCAGACAACAAAGAGGAGGAGGAGGAAGATAGCGATCCCAGCAAAACTCCAAGGATGCCTATTCTTCGGGATGAGACTGGGGAGGAAGTTATGGTTGGTCCCGCCAGGGGAAGCCCAACTACGAGGCGTCATACCTTGACTGAGACAGACAAGTTGACTTTGGTAATGGCTGATTTTCTGTCTGCTCAGAAGGAGCTAATCGTCACCCAAACCCAGAGGGAGAGACAAGGTGAGTGAGATGCAACTTTTCTGAGAGAACAGGCAGAACAAGAGGCTTCAGTGAAGCGGCCGCAAAAGGATTCGCTTGCCAGGTATGACAGAAGACATTTAGCTTCTTTCACTGATAGAGAGGATGTCCTAGACTTTTTAAATAATCTTTGAATTAGTCTGTAGAGATTTAAGCGCTCCGGAACAACTCTTTCTTAAACTGGTACATTCTCAGGTTTCTGGACAATTAGCTAAGATTCTTGCAAGGAGAGCCAAAGACGAACCCAGCTGGGCAGAGTTTAAATTCCTGGTTCATCATTGTTTTGGGTTCACTCCAGAGAACCTGCATCAGCAGTTTAGGAGCATAAAGAGACAGTACAAATAAAGTTTCTTCAGCGTGGCCTCTGTGAATACACAAAAAAGGGGTTAAATCAGTGCCTGCGTTGGACCTCTCGGAATTTTCTAGAGCTTAAAGAGATAAGTAACAAAGTTTGAGTTGCCCCAACAGCGTATGCTCCACCCACTCCAGCCTCCAGTTCCATTTTACCGCTGTCTGGCTAGGAACCTCTCGCTTGAGCTTCACTATATTCTTGGATTTTTCGATACATTTTCCGGTATTTTTCGACGACGGACTGTTTTGACGTCGTTCATATCTGTTGCCCTGACCTCGGACTACTTTTTGACTCTTCTATTGCCTACTGCTTGGATTTATTGCTTCTGGACGATTTTCCGCTCGTTAGCGGGCCATGCGCCTTCAATTACGAATCCACAACAGTAAGACTGCTCTATTTACTTACCTGCTTATGTCCTGTTCCGGTCCCTTCAGCCACTATATTGTCTGTTCCCGCAAACTACCCTTTCAGGACAGACACGATTGTTGTGTTTTTTGTCTTGGAGAATCCCACCAGCCAAGCGGTTGCAAGCACTATAAAAAATTTACAAAAATACCATCTGTGGGATAAAACCATTTCAGCATTTCAGCCGTCAGAAATGGAAATTGCTTCACCTTCTGCCACACCACATTCTGAAGTTCGTGCAACTTCTCAGTTGTCTTCGGCGGTTGTTAAAGAAAAACCCGCCCCAAAATCTGCAGGTTTAAAGAAAACTTCCACCTTGATGTCAAAGGCATCCTCCTCTGCCTCTACCAAGAGCACCAAACAAACCAAACCAAAGGGTTCAATTAAACCTAAAGAACCCCTCAAGCAGTTGCCTCCAGTCTCGGCCTCAGTGCCTTCTTCTATCTTAGAAGATTCTTCCCGGCATCGGAAATCAATGTCTGAAGCAGCTACTTAGCTACCTCCTAGACAAATGGGGTCAATACTGTCGATGGGTCTGACATCTCCGACTCCGACCCAACCTATGCATGCCTGTCACGGATTTGGCGACAGGAAAAACGCAGAGTTATCGAAGACACTTACAAGTTCTTCTTTTGCAATACGGTTGTATTTACAGTATTTACAAGTATTTACAGGCAGGCATCACATCAGCATGGCAGGAACTCTTTACACAAACGGACATAGTGGATAGCAGCAAATGGTGAAGAAAGAAGAGAATGATACACAGACACTGTTCACTTATATACATATACCTGGCTTCTCTAGTCCAATCAGAAGACACATGACTTCATCTTCTGCACCTGGTGTCTTCTCATTTCCAGACATTGTATCATCTTCAGAGTGACTCAGCATACTCACATCTGTGCACAATGGCAGCTCGTTAATAATATATTTATTCAGGTTCAGGCCTACAAAATTTTCTATATTCTGACAATGCCACCACAAGTTTGGTCTCTGGCCCACATAGCCCTGTATCTACTGGGTGGGCATCTCCAGCTCCTTCTTCAGCATCAGTTCTCTCGAGACCGACTTCGCCTCCACACAAAAGAACTAAGAAGGCTAAGCATTTGACTCCTGACTGGCACCGTTCCTCTCATCGTTCATCTAGACATTCACATAAGAAGCACTACAATTCTGACGACTCCAAAAATGACAGAAGGAAGTGCCATCACTGGCGTCAACGAGATTACTCTGAGTCAGAATCCTCTTCGACATTGCGAGACCGTCATAGAAAGAAGAAGAGGTCAAGACGTTCATATTCCTCGACATCCTCCTCTTCTATTTCTACATCTCCCTGCTGACGTCGACATCTAAAAATTGTCGACGTCAACAAGAATGGTAAGCGAATGCATTGTCCCAGGACTACACAGACTCAGCAAGAACCTGTACTGCCCTTTTCAGTGGAGGATGCCTTCGACGTTGAGGTGGAAGTTTTCTTTAAATCTGCTGTCCAGATTGGCTAAGACATTAAAGCTGGACACAGAACAAACTAAACCACCGACTGAAGACTTAATTTTCGGTGACATTATCAAGAG